TCCGTTACGGTTTGATGCGGAGCATTGGTGATGGAATTCCAATAAATAAAAAGGAAGCAGCGAAATATCTTAAAATGGCTGCTGATAAGGGCCATTCGAATTCAATGTTCACTTATGCTAACATGTTGAACTTTGGAGATGGAATTCAAATCGATAAAGAAGAAGCATCGAAGTATTACAAGATGGCCACTGAATATGGTCATCTCGACGCTATGGGCAACTATGCAGTGATGCTGAGAGACGGTGATGGAGTCCAAATGAACAAGAAAAAAGCAGCAAGATACTTCAAAATGGCTGCAGATCAAGATCATGCAAATTCAATGTTCAACTTGGCAATCATGCTGAATCAAGGCGACGGAATCCAAATGGACAAGAAAGAAGCAGCTGTGTATTTCAAGAAGGCAGCTGATTCAGGAAATGTCGATGCAATGTTCAACTATGGACTCATGCTGAATCAAGGCGATGGAATTCGTGTAAATAAAAAAGAAGCAGCCAATTATTTCAAGAAGGCAGCTGACCAAGGAAATGCAGACGCAATGCTCAACTTTGCAATCATGCTGAATCAAGGAGACGGAATTCAAGCGGACAAGAAGGAAGCAGCCAAATATTTCAAGAAGGCAGCTGAATCAGGAAATCAAAATGCAGTACTCAACTATGGATTCATGTTGAATCAAGGCGATGGAATCCAAGCTGATAAGAAAGAATCAGTCAAGTACATGAAGAAGGCTGCTGATCAAGGAAATGTCGATGCAATGTTCAACTTGGCAATCATGTTGAATCAAGGCGACGGAGTCCAAGCGGACAAGAAAGAAGCAGCCAAATATTTCAAGAAGGCAGCTGATCAAGGACACGCCGACGCAATGTTCAGTTATGGATTCATGCTGAATCAAGGCGACGGAATCCAAGCGGACAAGAAAGAGGCAGCCAAATATTTCAAGAAGGCAGCTGACGCAGGTCAAATTGATTCAATGTTCAGCTATGCCTTCATGTTGAATCAAGGCGACGGAGTCCAAATTGACAAGAAAGAGGCAGCCAAATATTTCAAGAAGGCAGCTGACAAAGGACATCCCAATTCAATGTTCAGTTATGGATTCATGCTGAATCAAGGCGACGGAGTCCAGATGGACAAGAAAGAGGCAGCCATGTATCTCAAGAAGGCAGCTGACAAAGGCCAAGTCACGTCGATGCTCTTGTACGCGATGATGTTGAACGAAGGCAACGGAATTGAAAAGAACAAGAAAGAAGCAGCTCGTTACTTCAAGCTCGCTGCTGATTCGGGACACGTCGACGCGATGCTCGCTTACGCCTATATGGCAATGAATGGCGACGGAATTAAGGCAAACCTAAAAGAGGCAGCCAGGTATTACAAGTTGGCCGCTGACAATGGAAATCTCGACGCAATGAACAACTACGGGGTGATGCTGAAAGACGGCGAAGGCGTCGATGCGAACAAGAAAGAAGCAGCTCGTTATTTCAAAATGGCCGCGGATTTGGGACACGTTAATTCAATGAAGAATTATGCTAATATGCTGAATAAAGGTGATGGAATTCAAATGAACAAAAAAGAAGCAGCAAGATACTTCGGCATGGCAGCTATGAAAAAGTAATAATATTATTAATTATAATTCGAGAAAAATATTTTTCTGATTATGATTAATTATTCATTCTCGTGATAAATATTTCTCGATATTAATGCATGCACAATAATACCAAGAAAAATAATTGATAGTATTTCGTTTCAAAAAAGTTGAAAATCAATTTCAATCAAAATAGACGCTGAAATAATCATTTTCTTTCAATATTTGTGAAAAGAATTGAAAGCCTTTCAATATTGAGATAATTAAATGTTTTCATTTAATTTAAATATATCTCAATAATACTTATCTTTTAAAATATTATTAATAAATATTTTAATAGTCTATTTGAAATTATATTTTTAAGCAAACAATTTAAACAGATAAATATGAATTATCAAACTATTTGAATTCTGAATTTGAGGAATATTGAAGGAAAATAAGCCAAATAGCATTACTAAATCTTGTTTAATAAAATATCTTAATTTTATTAAAAAAAAGTTTAGAATTTATCCATTTTTTTCATTAAAAAAAAAAATCAACTACCGATATTTATCAAATTCAATAAAAATCAAATATGCATTCAATTTTTGTAACAAAATTTTTATTCATTTTTTTATCAAATATTCACTTCATTTTTTAATAATGTTGACATCTAAAGTTGACTATGTTGCAGGACAAATTGCCAAAGAAGTAATCATATCCAATGATTCAGGTATTGTCATTGAAATGGCATTTGACAAAGGCTGCGAGCTTCCAACTCATGTCGCACAAGCAGATGTATTAGTTCAGATTCTTGAAGGTGAGATGGATTTCACAAATGAAGGACAAGTTCATCATCTTAAAGCAGGTGAATTTATCACAATGAAACCAAATACACATCATTCACTTAAAGCAGTTGAACGCTTCAAGATGCTCTTAACAAAGCTCAATACAAAATGAAATAATACACTAATTGAATAAATTATAGATTTTTATTATTTTTACTTATATTTTTTCAGTTTTTTCAGAATAATTTAAAATTTTATAGATATCTAAAATATTTTAATATTTTATGAATATTTTATTTTATTAATTAAATAAGATTAAGTATTTATTATATAACATTTTAAGATAAGCTTGTTTATAAACAAAAATAATCAATAAAATTTTGTGATGATTTTTTCTGTTGGTAATTGAATTAAATTCAATACAATTTTGGGTTCGTCTTTTTGAGAGAGTTTTTTTTGAATGAATTCAACTATTTTACCTTTTTTTTGGTCATTTTTAATTAGCCTTTTTTGACCATCTAAAATTCAAAGTGTTTTTTTTTTCTTTTTTAAATATTTTGTATTCATGTTCTCTTTTTTTATAAACAAATAAATACTAAGATATTATTAATGATATTATTTTGATATTTGTCTTAATTAAATGCATTGTTCACTTGTTTTAATAAAACATTTCAACATCTAATTTCTTAATTAATACTTAATATTGGTATCATTTTTGAGAGTCTATGCGAAATTTTCAACTTAATAATTCAAAACTTCTTTTATTTTACTTAGGTTGCCTAAAAACATTAATATATCACTTTTGTATAATTCTATATTCTTTTTGAAAGTATCTAAACTGTAAAAAGAACATCATTTATATCAATCGAAAAGTTCAAACAACTAATCATTTATTAACTTTCCAACAAGAAATGTATATTAATCAATTATTAATTCGACATAAGCAGAAATGAAAAGTGAAAAATCACTAGAAACGCCAGCAAATACATTTGATTCAAGTTGAACTTGCTGTGAATTTGGAAAAGCAGCCATAAAAAGTTGTTTTGAATCACTAAAGCACGAATCATCAAGAATTATTTTTTTGCCAAAAAATTCAACAGCCAGAAGGTTGGAACAACCGGAGAAGCATTCACTTTTAACATGTTCAACGCTAGATGGAATCTTGATGTTGATAATTGAAGAATTAGAAAAAGTATTTTTTTCAAAAGTATTGAATAACGAATTCTCACAAAATTCAATGAAACGAATCTCACTATCAGAAAAAGCGCCTTGATCAATTGTTTGAACTTTTGGTGGAATTGAGATATACTCAAATGACGTGAAATAAAAAGCACCGGTTTCAATTATATTCAATTTTGAATCAATTGAAAATTCAATTGAATTCAATTCATTACAAAGTGCAAAAGAATGCTCACAAATTTGACGAACACCTGAAGGAATCGAAATTCGTTCAAGTGAAGATGAATAAAAAGCTTTACTTCCAATTGATTTTAATTTTGATTTTTTTGTGAAAATAACGGTTTTTAATTCTTTGCATTTATAAAAAGTTTCTTTTTCAATTTCTTCGACTTTTTGAGGGATTTTGATTCTTTCAATTGAGGTGAAACTGAATGCTTTTTTGCCTATCTTTGTCAATTTTGAATCTTCTGAAAATTTAATTGATTCAAGTGCTCTGCATTTATAGAAACATCGTTTCCCTATCGTTTGCACATTCGCTGGAATGACAATGCTTTCAATCCCGCTGTTGCTGAATGCATCAACGTCAATTTTTTTCAGTTTTGAATTTGGATAAAATTTCACTGATTTCAAATTGAAACAATGCGAAAAAGTGCTGTCTGAGATGACTTCAACACCCGATGGAATTGTGATACTGACAAGTGACGTGAAATAAAAAGTTTCATTTAAAAAAGCTGTGATTTGAGATGATTCTGAAAAATTAACTGACTCGAGACTTTCGCATGATGAAAAGCATCCCTCGCCAATTTCGTTGACACTGGATGGAATATCAATGCTTTCAATTGCTGATTCTGAAAATGCTTCATCGCCAATTGAAAGCAGGGCTGAATTTTCAGGAAATTTCACTATTTTAATCATTTTGTCGTTCTTCATTGAATTGCTCTCGATTCCTGTAATCAAGTAATTGCTTGAACTATAATTTATTGATCTTGGAATATTAAGAATTTCGTTTTTTGAATCAAATTTCTTGATTGTGGCTGTGAAATTTTGATTATTTATTTGGAAAGATAATCCGTTTATACCAATATCTTGCATAATATTATTTTAATTTTTTTTTTTTTTAGTTAACCATTTATTTTAATTAATAACGTTTTTTCTTTATGATTTCATATTTGAATTTTTCACAAATTTTGAATATTGACAACATCATCACAAAAACAATTTTTATTCATATATAAAATAAGTTTCTCCTCATTAAAAATAAAATTGCTCTGATGCAGGGATTGTAAGCGTTGACTATCAGGGAAAAGAACGAAAATCAAAGAAACTTTCAAAGTTCATATAACATAGAAAAAACGAACGGGTTGGTGTTAATATGCATTATGTTATGAAAAAATTTATTGTTACAATTAATCTATTTTTCTTTTTGCAGCATAAGGAATATAAAAGCGATAATAAAAATATTATAAAATCAAAAAAACGACAACCATGGGATTCGAACCCACACGGGACAAGCCCAAGAGATTTCAAGTCTCCCGCATTAACCAACTCTGCCAAGCTGTCTCTTCGTTTAATATCGATTATCAATAAATAAAAGCATTTAAAATCAAAATTCATCAAATGATAAAAAATTAATAATTATTTTAAATGAAATAAATAAAAATAAATAATTAATAATACATTCTTTAATACATAGCTATTATATAAAAAGAAACAAAGCCTACATACACAAACAAACATAAAAATATATAATTCATGAATTTCCTGAGAAGTCTTGGTTATCGCTGAATCTGACCATGCTTTTTGTGGTTGGAATTTTGATTCCGTTATTTTGATTTTCGGTATTAAAATTGTGCATTGAAACAGAATGATGAATAATCGGCTTCTGAATGAGAGAGTTTTTCCTCCTCGCATTTGTCACGAACATTGCATTAGAGAGGTCAGATCGTTGAGGGGACACGTAGCGTTGCGAGAGGCGTTTTCTACCTGAAACGATAGGCGTATTCAAATTTGAGTGTCGAATTGAGAACAAAATTTTCTGGTTCGTTTTTGTGTTATTGAAATTCTGCACTTTAAAGTAGCATGTGTCACTTTTTTGTAGACGTTTAATTGGTTCAAAACTAATGAATTCAATTTTGTCTTCATTTTCAAAAAGTCGTAAAACGCCCGATTTGTTTCCCATGTCTTTTATGTAGGACGAGGCCGAGAAAACAGTTATGCACTTCTTGTCGAAATGAGTGCTCGAGCCATGCTTGACGCACTCGTGTGCTCTGATGATTCTCTTCAATGAGTTGTTGAGGAGGAAAAGATCGGTAGCGTTGGAATTGAATAGAAAACCTTTCCCACGTGGATTATCGCAGAATAAGAAAGGGAAATTGGACGATGGATCGCTCCAAACAACGTCTGAAAAGAGCGAATTCTCTTCAAAAGTGTAAATTGGCCTTGTAATACCTTTTTTAAGGGATTCTAGGTGTTCTATTCTTGGACTCAAGCCACCATGAATACAAAAGGTTGTTTGGTTAACAATGGCGCCAATGGGTAAAAAGGAAAAGGCTTCAATAAAAGCATCATATAATTTTTCTGAATATTTGTAACAATCTGGGCAACTGTACTCCGGGTAGTATTCATCGCATTGTGTATCTTCCTCTTCTTCTTTATTATGCGTCGATTCTTCATTCAAATGGAGGTTTACCGAATTTGAATCTGATTTCTTGATAATTTTCTTCTTATGGATTTTTTTCGGATTGTGATAGTTTAATATTTCATCTTTGAAGCCATATTGGCTACACATAGAATCAAATTCATGATTTCCTCGAAGTAGATAAAAATTATTTGGTCGCAAGATTTTTAATGCAAATAATAATGTAACGCATTCCAATGAAAAACTACCTCTATCAACATAGTCACCAAGAAATAGGACCTTTGAATCAGTTTCTTGTATAAAATTTAAAATTCGTAATAAATCATGAAAACTTCCGTGTATATCACCAACAATTATTATATCTCCATCTATTTCAAGTATATTTTCTTCATTTTCAAACGTTTGTTGAGCATCTGAACATAATTCAATAAGTAAATCTTCATCGAAAGAAGGAATTGGATTTCCTTCTTTAGATTGGTGTCCAACTTCAAGGAGCTTTTCAAGAGGATATTTATTTATAAATGAGTAAGCTGAAAAAATATAAGAAGCTGATCTTGCCATCTATGTTGAAAGTAAAGTCATATTCCTCAAAAAGTTTAAAATAATCTTAGTTTTTCTGTTGAATTCGTTTTTTTAATTGAAAAAATAGTTTGTCAAAATAAGAAATGCTAAAAGCCGATCTGTTTTTTTCTTTTATATATAAGCTAAATAGCTCATTATTGATGAAAAAAATAACAAAAAAATTAAATTTTTTTTGAATATTCCTATCAAAAGTAGAAAATTCACGGAAATTTACAAGTTTTTGAGAAAAAAATTTGGTTAGAAATAAAAGGTCCGTATATTGATAATTTATATATATAAATATAATTATATTTTATAATTTCTTGTTTTTATAATATTTTATAATTAGAAATATTAAGTTTTATGATACTTTGTTTTTTGAAGCATTTATGAATATATATAGTTTTTGTCAATTAAACAAAAAACTTGTAGAAGAAGGAAGATATTCAATAATTTCAAATAATAAATGAATATTTGTTCATGATTGCTTCATATTTCTGCATGAAATGATATATAAAAATGTTATTTTAAATTTTTTTTATTTTAATATATATAGATATTTAAACCACTTTTCAATATTCTTAAAGTATCAAAATATCTCTTTAAATTTATCAAATTAACTGTAATCTTCTTTGAGAATGATCATTGGAATATGAATTGTTTAGTGGACAACATTTTGTTAAAAAACATTAATCTTGTTTCATATTGATTTTGAAAAATTATTTAAATATATCAACTTCAAATATATTTATACGTCTTTTATGAAATTGTAAACATAGGCTTCTTCGATAATATTTCTTTATTTTATAATTTTATAACTTAAACATATATATATATTTTTATTTCTACGACTGTTTTATATTTTAATTGATAATTATTAAGATATCTTCGTTTATAATTGAATAAATATTCTGATATTATTTGGTCAAACTGCATTGAAAAAAATCAAAAATTCAATATTTCTTTAATCGTAGTGGACAAATATTTTATTGATAACCGTTTGTTTGTAATTAACAAATACTTTCCACAGTATCGGTTTGCTGATGAATACAAAGAAATTAAAGATGATTGGTATCAGCAAAAAGAGCTTCTTTATAAGAAAATGCAGGAACTAAGCCAAGTAATAAGCATGAGCTTAAATTGATTTTCACTAAGAAAGAGTATTTTCACTTCTCCATGATTTTTTATAATAAAATGTTTTATAAATAGAGCCAATATCAAAAAGATATATTAAAAAAACTTATAAAAAGAAAATGTTTTTCGCTCAAAATTACCCTCTGTGCAAATAACCAAAGAAAAATACACTTAAATAAATAAATCAAACCAAATTACATTAATTTCTGTTCATTTTCCGGTGAATCAAATATCAATTCAAATGATATTGAGCTATTTCATAGAAAAGTTAAATTTTTTTTAACCAATATCAAGAATATAATTGAAGATGCTGATTTAAGCGATTAAAAAACAATTTTTCTCACAAATTTTTTTTATTAATAATATTAATATTGTTATAATTTTATTTTACTAAAACAATGAAGGTTTAATATCAGAATCATTATATATTTCATCACTACTTGGTTCTCTAGATTTATCTTTCTTTTTCAAAACCAAAAAATAAACAAGGAGAGAAATAACAAACGTAAGTACAACAGCACTGCCAATTGCAATTGCCAATATTATTATCAGTTTTATATTTTTATCATTTGAAGGAGTTTTACTATTAGCAAAAACGATGCATTTCTTTTCATCAACAGTAAAATTAAAACCATCTTTGCAAAGATCGCATTTTGTTGCATTTAAACTGCAATCAATGCAATTCGGATCAACGCACTCGATGCAATAATATTTTCCACTTTCATTCAATTCAAGACCATATCCTTCTATGCACATTGTGCACAATAAAGGATTCTCAAAACATGATTCACAATTTTCAATGCACTTTTCGCATCTCCCATTAATTAATCCATATCCGTTTTCGCAGTTTGCATATTCATCACATAATTCAGAATTGTATGCACATTGTTTACAAAATTGTATTTTGCAATGTTCACACACTCCTTTTTCTATATTAACACCAAATCCATCTTTGCATTTCCTGCATTGTGAATTATCTAAATTGCATTCAATGCAATACTCATCACGGCATAATTCGCACAATACTTCATTATCACTATATTTATGCAAGCCATATCCGTATTCACAATCTTCACACATAGTAGGAAGCGTACAATGTGTACAATGTAAAGGGCATGGTTTGCATAAAACATTGTCATCTTCATAGTATAATTCATAACCATCATCACATATTTCACACCTTTTATAATTTTCTCTGCATGCTATACAATTTTCAGGGCATGGCAAGCATATTATATTAGAGTCGCCAACTTTATATTTTCCATATCCAACATCACAGAAAATACAAATTGATTGGTCATAATAAAATATACAATTAAGGCAATTTTCATTACATTTTCGACAAATTTTTTCTTTCCCTTCAACAAAATAGTATCCTATCTCACAAAAAATGCATATGCTTGTATCATTTGGGCAGGAATCACAATTATTAATTTGGCATGGTTCACATACATATTCACTCTCGTGTTTAATTAAGGCAAATTTGTTTTTGCAATATGAACATTTTTTAACATCGTCGTTGCAATTCTCACAATTTTTATCTTTGCATAATTCACACAAAATTCCATTTTCACTTTGAATTTTTCCATATCCTGAGTTACACATTGAACATTCACCAATATCATTATAATATTTACAATTTTCAATGGTTTTTTTGCAAATGAAACTATTGTTTTCATTCTTATATAAAGAATAGCCTGATTCACAAGATGAACAGTTGCTGTAATTTTTTTCACATTGGTCGCAATGATCTATTGAGCAAGGTAAACATGATACAGTTCCGTCATCGTGATAATAAAAACCATGTTTGAATTTACACTCAGTGCATATATCAGGATTTTCGTTGCATTGGAGACAGTTGATTCTACATTTTTTGCAAATAAAAATACCATCTTTTTGTTTATACAGCCCAAAGCCTTCATTACATAGAGTGCAACTTTTGCTAATTAAATCACAACTTTTACAATTTGTTGGACATTTTTTGCAAATAAAATTTTCATCTTCTGTTTCAAATAATTCATAGCCAACGTCGCATGTTTTACAATTTTCTGTACTAGAGCAATATTTACAATTTGATGGACATGGCAAGCATCCAATATTTCCATCTTCTAAACGACCATTAATAAAATGATCATTGCATTCATAACAATTTAAATAATTGCCATAGCAATTAATGCAATTTTTGGGGCAATTTTCACAGATAACTGAACTGTTTTTCAATTTATGT